ACCACCCTCATTGCCCAAGGGCATACTTTTCCCTCATGCTTGTCACCTGCAAACAACAGTGTTTTTGTTTGTTTTTTTTGTTTTGAGACTGTCACTCTGTTGCCAGGCTGGAGTGCAGTGGCACCATCTTGGCTCATTGCAACCTCCGCCCTCCTGGGTTCAAGCGATTCTCCTGCTTCAGGCTCCTAGGTAGCTGGGACTACAGGCACATGCCTATATTTTTGTATTTTTAGTAGGGATGGAGTTTCATCATGTTGGCCAGGATGATCTCGACCTCTTAACCTCATGGTCCGCCCACCTTGACCCCCCAAACTGCTGAGATTACAGGCATGAGCCACCGCGCCCAGCCACCACACAGTCTTTATCTCTGTGTAACACCTCCCTGGATCTTTCTTATTGCTCCTTACATAGCTGTATGTGTTCTCTTTTACCTTTGGGCAGATTATCTCCCTTTTCTTCTGCTCATGTGGCCCTTCACCAAATAGTTTAGTACAAATCTTACTCAATCTTTCAGTTATTACCTTAATCTGCTTCCTCTAGGAAGCCTTCCCTGCTTCTCTTTCCCTCCCCCTACACACTGATACTTAATTCTGTCACATCCCTTGCTGTAATTTCCTGTTTACTTGTCTGTATGCTCCTAAGGCCATGGTTTATTTGTTGCTCATGTTGTATTCTTAACATCTAACATAATATTGGTCATAGACTAGGTGCACCAAATATATTGGTCCATGAATGCACATTGCCATAGTTCATTGAGCACCTATTATGGAACAGTAACTGCCATTCTTGAACAATCTGTAGTTCAGCCATGCAAGCTGCATATTGTGCATGTAGCAGAAAAGACAATCTGAAATCAAATAGACTTGGGTTGGAATTCTATCTCTATTATTTTATTAGCTGTGTGGCCTTGGGAAATCTACTTGACCTCTTAAAACCTCAGTTTGATCTTCTGTAAAAAGAAGATGAAAATACTAATCTTGCAAGATTGTTGTGAGGCTTAAAAGGGACCATCTCAGCCGGGCATGATGGCTCATGCCTGTATTCCTAGCACTTTGGGAGGCTGAGGCGGGCTGATCACTTGAGGTCAGGAGTTTGAGGACAGCTTGGCCAACATGGTGAAACCCCAACTCTATTAAAAATACAAAAATTAGCCAAGTGTGGTGGCACAAGCCTGTAATCCCAGGTTCTTGGGAGGCTGAGGCAGGAGAATCGCTTGATCCTGGGAGGCAGAGGTTGCAGTGAGCTGAAATTGTGCCACTGCACTCCAACCTGGGTGACAGAGTTAGACTCTATCTCAATTTAAAAAAAAAAAAAAAAAAAAAAAAGAGACCATCTCTGATGTCAGTGTGCCAGGGGCACTGAGCAGGTGTGTGATGTTTGTTATTTTTTTTTGGCAATCACCTGTGGGATGGATGAGTGAGAACCTGTTAGATGGTTTTCTTAAACCTGTGGTGAAGATGGGGAGTGTTGCTTGCATCTTGTTGACTCATTTCCATTTGCAGCCAGGAAAGGAAGACGCCAATGAAGAGACTCAATATGCATGCTTCGTGTGGTAGCCTTTTCAAGCAGTGAGGTGGCGGCTTGGGCTGCCCAGATTTCTGACCTGTTAATAACTTGCTTTTTTCTGCTCAACTGAGGCAGTTTCATAATGAATTGGAACTGGTGATGTGGTTCTCTTGAGTAAAATTATCATTTTCATACTCTATGAAATAGTTATTAAGTCAGTTCATGAAATGTCTAATAAACAGACAGGTGTCTAGATAACAAAACCACAAAAGACTTCTCAGGAACATCCCCTAGCAAAGATTCTAGTGGTTAATGGTAGGTTTTGTACATTATTGCCTTCTCATTCTTAAAAATAGGATCCTGTGGCTCCACTGAGGACAGCTACAGAGGAACTATGCCTTAAAAATATACAGAGGGTTTCATTTATGAAATAAAAAAACAAACAAACTATCCTCGTTGACCAACAGCCCAGTTGTGGGCAGGAGAAACTCCAGGAAAAGAAAAAAAAACCACCATGTCGAATCCAGCTGATTCTGTGCATGGCTGTTACTCAAAGATTGTTAGTTGACCTACAATATGGCTACCCTGCTATCACCCAGGTGTGAAGCCGCATCATCTTGTACCCTACCTACTTACTGAATATCTGCCTTCCCATTGTCCTCTGCACATTGTACCCAGATCATTTTTCTTCAGCCCCTCTTTACCAGTTTACACCTTGCCTTCAAGTGGCTTTTCTTTAGCAGAGAAAATCTAAACTTTTAAATCCGAATTCAAGTTCTTAGATTCCCACCACCCTAGCAAGACCTGTAACAAACTATCTACCAGCTTACAAGAACCAACTCATACTACATTTTGCAAGGATCTTTTGTTTTTTTGGCAAACCATGTATGCTGTCCCAGAAGAAGACAGATGTGGGTAACTTAGAGTTCTTCTTGATAGCATTTAGAATCAAAATTCCTTCACTCAAGACCCTATTCCTGCAACTCTGTTGCTTGATATTGCATTTTGAAAAAGGCTCTAAAGGAATATGAAAAGATGAGGATATATATCGAGAGCACAGGGCTTGATTTGTAAGACTAGAAAGTGTGTTTTGAATGGATTCAGTTTCAAGTATTGTTGAAGACCTGCTTATTGTTGGGGATTCAAAAGAAGTATTTAATGTAGCTGCCGCAGGAGCGTATAGCATTAAATAACATGCCAGCAAAATGGTTTGAGGCCAAAATTAAGGAAATATTTTCTGACTGATGCTCAGTAGTGTATCCTTGCTGATGGTTTCCCTGTCTCTTAGCCTCACACACATATAGGTGGCAATTCTGCCATTGCTCCATTTACATTCTCAGAGTGCTCATCAAGGCTCCTGGCAACAGCAGGCTAAGGATGTTAGCCTTTGATGCATCACAACTGGTGGCATTTCCATTGAGTCTCACGGGTGTTTATTACATCTTCAGTATCTTTAAGCAGTTGGAAGATAAACAGCCCCAAAGTAAACTTCATCCAGCTCTAGTTTGAATGATTTTATGAATATTATAGAAAACCAGGTCCAATATCATGTACCTGGAACCTTCCTCTACATTTTGGGTTCATTGTCATTTTTCTCAGTGCCAGTATATTCTTTTCTGCTATTTTCACTGAACTTAAGTGCGTGGCCATTGCAAATTGGGGGAGAGAACAGATCATGAGCAGCTGAATCTAACATAATAGGACCGAATTCTTGTATGGTCTGAAGAAGAGAGGACATAAGAAGTTCTCCAATTAGACAATCTTTCTGGTAGTTGCAAGCTAGTCTTTAGTGAGAATGCCATCTTATGAGCTACATTTATTGAGACCTTAATGTCAATAGATTTAACCATATTAAATTCTAGCAGAGTTTGGTTTTTCTTAGTTGGGGTTTTTATGAAGGTGCAGGGGCCATAAGAGAGTAATAAGAAAAAAAGAAAGTTGAGGATGGGCAAGTGCAGATTAGACTCCTAGTTTCTGGAAATCTTGTTTCCATGAATTTGCTGCTTTTCCTTTTGTGAAAAGTAGTTTTTAACCTACGTGCCCATTTCTAGGAATGTTAAGGATTTCTTAAATTAAAATAATGCCTATCTTATATTGAAGATCAGACCTCACATACTTATCACATGCATTTCATACAATATATAATTTCATTAAATGCAACTTTACATTTTATCTTACTTTATGGATAATTTTCTTATATGTTATTTCATTCAATCTTCCTACTTCATTAGGTAAATATTACTACTTCCATTTTATTTTTAGAGGTAGGGTCTTGCTATATTACCCTGACTGTGTGGCTGGCTTCAAATTCTTGGGCTCAAGTGATCCTCTTGCCTCAGCCTCATCAGTAGCTAGAACTATATGTACATGTTTCTAGTTTCTATTATTTTCATTTTACAATTGCATGAACTGAAGTTTGGATTAAGGAGCAGGCCCAGGCTCCATGTTGGTAAGTGGTGGAGCTGGGATTTGAATTATGTATACCTGACTTCAAAGGCTAGGGTTATAAACATGGCAAAACATGACTTTCCACATAGCACATTTGTCTTCCTTAGAGAGTACCATGTGGATCGCGATTGTATATTTTATGGAGTTCATAAAGCTACTAAGAGGGTGACACAAGTCCCCAAGAACTAAGGGAAATGGACAATTCCGTCCTAGCAATCAATGTCTTTAAAACCTATACACACTGATTAACCAAAAAATGATGTGAATTTTATTACATAGGTTCGTTTTTTTTTTTTCCTTTAGCATTTATCATTTACTGGTTGTATGGTAGTGGAGTAAGCCTTGTAAGAATAGCCTTTCATGCTGTTTTTATAAAGTAAGATATAATTAAAAACATGAGTGTATAAATTCAAGATGGTCAGTATTCCACCCTGCTTTTAACCATGGGTTCTTATTTGAAGGTCAGCAAAGTAGTCCTCAAAAACTAGACGAAATGGAGGAAGATAAATGCATAAGTAGTCTAAGTCAGAAATTCTTCTCGTTCCCTGCATCTTTTTTTTTTTTTTTTTTTTTGAGACGGAGTTTCACTCTTGTTATCCAGGCTGGAGTGCAATGGCGTGATCTCGGCTCACCACAACCTCCGCCTCCTGGGTTCAGGCAATTCTCCTGCCTCAGCCTCCTGAGTAGCTGGGATTACAGGCACACGCCACCATGTCCAGCTAATTTTTTGTATTTTTAGTAGAGACGGGGTTTCACCATGTTGACCAGGGTGGTCTCGATCTCTTGACCTCGTGATCCACCTGCCTTGGCCTCCCAAAGTGCTGGGATTACAGGCTTGAGCCACCGCGCCCGGCCGTTCCCTGCATCTTTATTGGGGGGTTAGATAAGAGAGGAAAACAATAGTTGGTTGTACTCTGTCATCCTCTATAGATGATTCCTACTTACATGTGATTGGATGAAGTGAAGTCATAGCTCCTTTAGGACTAAACAACAGAGATTTTCCTCCTAATACATTTTCTTCTATTTTTTTTTTTTTCTGGTTATAGAGGCAAGGACCTAGCAACATTTATGAAGATCCTCGAATGACCTGTGGTTTCCAGTCCAATTATCACCAGCAAAGGCCTTGCTACCCCTTTTGGGATGAAATGGCAACTCAGGAAGTTCCTACTGGTCTTGAACACTGTGTCTCAGGTAGGAACATAAAGCAGAAGCTGGGATTAAGGGTAGAGTTGAAGGCAAATGGAAATCTGATGAGGGCTGCATTCTTTCAAATAACAGCTGCCATGGCTTATGCGGGTATGGATGCTATTGTTCTCGAATGGAAAGTCGCAGGCCTTCTCCATAACTTTTGGGTTATTTTATTCCCTGACAGGAAGACTGAACTCTAGGAATGGGCCCAAGAAAGGTTGCTTTAAGGTCTCCACCTTGCAAATAGTTCTGCTTACCCTGCATTTCCTGACACCCGTTTTGTCAGAGAGCCTAGAAGTTTTGCAGTCACAGAATCTGAGCTGGATAAACAGAGATGTGTGAATTGCTTGGCCTTCTTACAGAACATAGTTTCTTTCGATCTTCAACTGTTTCCATTGTTCCCTCCCTCTCTGCCCATGTCCACCTGGATCCCTCTCCCTTCCCTCCTTCACTTGCTGGTGGCAGTGCTGCCCTCTGGTGAGCGGGAGTCAAGCTCCTCCAGAGAGCTCTCAAATCAACGGATCTGCGTTCTCAGGGACCTCGGGAGTCTAAAGCCCTTATCTCCATGCTGTTTTCAGGAGTCACTCCGTTTCTCACAAACGGCATTAGTCCTTGGTTTGCTAGCTAGTGGTTTTTCTTTTTTTAAATAAAAAACATTAAATTTGAATTTGGAAATTCCGAAATGATCAATTCAGGTATTAAGTTTACTTTTACATGAGATCATATTATGATAACATAGTTGAATATCATATGGCCAGTCAAAATCTGTGTTTTCTCCCAGGATGAATTCTTGGCATAGAAATGTAATTTCTCTCACATGTTGGGAAATTGAAGTTCTGGGGAGTTACCTGGGCATGGCATGGCAGGGGGAGTCACTAACTTGAAGGCTACTCTTTGGTTCAGTCTTCTTTCACTCCACAAAATTCTTTGGTTAACTACTTTTATAACAGTGGAGAAATAAACTAAATATTTGCTTTGTTACATGCTTTCTTGCTCATCAGGAATAAACAGACACAGGGCAAGATGCTGCGACACTCCATGGGCTGTGTATATGGTGGGTGAGGAGGCATGGGGAGTAGCTTTCCATTTGCCTGGTTGCTCTCTAAGGCAGAATGAAATCAATTCATGTGTCCCATGTTCCCTTCACTCAACTGCCATGATCTTTGAGGCTTCTTTGGCATTGCCCTGGATTGTAGACATAATAATATTTATGCTGACACTTTCTGCTTGTTATCTCAGTGCCTCTAAACATAAATACAAATGTCTCAGCTACCTACCCATTTCACAAGGGAGCTGGGAGGATTTTGTACCTGTTCACAGGTACAAAAGGACTTAAGGACTTAAAATTTGAGGACATGAGAAAAGTGATCCTTTTAAAATTCTAAACAAAATAGATTTTGTTTGTATAAGCAAAAGGTCAAAATGGTTGTGTTTATGTTTGCATAATTCTTGAATCCTATTAATGCCACTAGGCTTAAGTCTTTTATCTCCCAATGCAACTGAGGTTAAAACTGCCTTGCTTTAACACTTTCAGCTCTGGATGGTCTCTGCTTGCCACAAGTTACATCTTATTAATGGCTGAGGCCATCTCTGCTTGTCCATAGCCTGAAGATCAGAATGTCTCTGCTTCATAGCAGAGACATAGCCCTCCTTTTTCTTAACTGAGCTCAAAGTATATAAACTCCCAAGTGAGCTGATTTTTCATGCTACTCTTTGTCAAGTTTCTCAAAGGCAATGACATTTTTATTTCAGAGCCAATGAGACTGTCTGGGAAGCATATGAAGAACAGCTTTAAAATGCAAGGACTTGCAGCAGGATAATATTGTCTTCTTCTCATAGTTTATAGTTGCAAAAAAGAAGCTGGGATGATCCCTACTTTTGATAGGTTGAGAAGATTGGGGCATATAACATCCATTCCTAGAATGACCCGGGTTGCCATCAACCACAGCTCAGAGATGGCACACAGCTTCCATCGGGGTGTGGCCCCTACCAGTTGGGGGCAATGTCTTCACAAATGTGATGGTTGTAGTTCCCACTGTCCTAGACTCCCTCTGATGGAAACGTCTGGCAAGAACCCTGAGCTTTTCTAGCCCCTCCTTTAGCTTTTGAGCTTCCCAGACGAAGGAGTTGGAGGGATTATTTCTGGGCTGTGGTCCAGCTCTCCTCAGTGATGGGTGTTGTTTGGACGGGGATCGTGGGGTTATAGGGAAGAGAGATGAAGACATAGACCAACCAATGATTTCTCCAGCTGTGGCACATTTCCTTGGAGATGTGTTGAATATAAAGAAAGAGAAAAAATACGCGACTTTTTTTTCATCTCCTTTTATCCTATTTATAACTTCGGTTTCCTTCCCGTCCTCCGTCTCATGGCTACTGCCCACCCCTGCTCCCCCGTCACGTTCGTGCTCTCAGAAGGGATGAATGAACTTCTTTTCCAAGGACTACACATCTGTCAGTGCAAAGAATACTGATAGGAGGGGCCATCAAGGAGCAAGCAGGCCTTTTCAGAATGTTGTTTCTGTTCACGAAGGGGCAGAGGCTGAGGAAGAGGAGGAGAAGGAGGAGGGTGGGAGGGAGGGGGAAGAGAGAATCAAGCAGAGAGAAAGTATGAATGAGGGGGAAAGCCTTACCAGGTGAGCGGGAGAGAATTCTTAGGCACCAAGGCCTGTCGGGGATCGACTGGACAAAATAGATGATAAAGCGGGTGTAGTGGGAGAAAGAAGACATGTGTGAAAATGCACAGAAAATGAAGGTGGATATTAGTAGCGTGGTGGGGAATAATGGGAAAAGAAGATGAACGATGAATGGGAAGGGGAAAAGAAGTGGGGAGCCCAGAAAAAAGACAAGGCAAGAAGGGGAGGGGAAGATGACATGAAAGAGAAAAATAGATGAATCTGAGGACATTAGCTATACAGCTAAAAAGGGAAGCCACATTTGCATGCAATTGCCTGTGCAGCTGTACATTTCTTCATAACAATCTTGTAGTCATCATTTTCTTTCATTTCTATCCTCCTCCTACCGTCGGCCTCTTCCCCCTCCTCCCTATAAGCCTGGAGCCATTAGCGAGAGCCAATGGGGCTGAGTGCTGGTGCTCTGCATGAATGAATGGGCCCTTTCTGTCTCAGCTTCTCGTCATCCTTCTGTTAGGGAACCTTGTGAATCAATGGAGCCTCTTACACAAGACACGGCTGAAATGTCTGTTACTGTTTATAGTCTGACTGGAGTGGAGACACTGACCCTGCCTCCTCTCTGTTCCCTTCCTCTGTTCTGTCCCTCAACCTCAGCCCTTTCTCTCCAACCATCCTAACAAGAATCATTTTTGCATTTCAGTCTCTTGCTCTCTGTCTTTAAGAGCTCACTGACATCTTACCATCATCAACTGTCATGACTAGTTCCTACCCACAGTCCTGTTGGATACAGTGGGGTAACGGCAATGAGCCTCATAGTGGTGCCCAGGCCTTACTGAAGTCAGACACTGCCTGTTTTCCAAAACTGACATCAGAGACCCAACTGAGCACCCAGGACCCAAGACCTCAGTCCATTCAATCAATGCCAGCTGTTCACATTTGATTTCAGCCTCATGATTGTGATGCTCATGAATGCTCATAGTTCGTATCAGAAAATACGATGCTTACTTGGCAGTCTTTCAAAGTGTTATAGTATCAAATTATTTTTCATTTCAAGGATGGATTTGTCTGGAATCAGCCAAACTTAATGGATGTGATGTTGTGAGCAAAGCACACTTTTGCAAATTACTTGCTTAAAGCTGGGAAGCAGCCTGGAGCCTATAGAACATAGGAAACACAACTTAATTTTGTGAGACAGAACCTATAGTCTCAGTACTATGGTCCTTGATTTGAGAAACAAGACAATACTTTTTCTTCTTGTAGAATGCAGTTTGCTATGTCTTTGGCCACTGAACATAGTAAAACCTTCACTGAACCACATTCATAGCCTCTCTGCCACTTCTCATTCTTTATAAGAAGGGGCGTTTATTTAGTGTAGTAGGAAAGAACCCAGATTCTGGACCCAGGTAACTTGTGTTTGCATCAGCTCTTCCTAACAGTGTGACCTTAGACAACTTAATCTTTGTACCCAGTTTCCGCATCTATACCAATGATTCTCCAAGCATGGTCCTCAGACCAGCAGCATCGCTCTCATCTGAGAACTTGTTAGAAATGTAAAATCTTGAGCTGTACCCAAGACGTATTGAAGCAGGAACTCCCAAAGTACATCAGAATCACTTTAGGGCTTGTAAAGACACTGGTTATGGGGTTCTACTTCCAGGGTTTCTGATTCAGTGAGTCTAGGTTAAGGCTCAAAAAATTTGCATTTCTAACAAGTTCTCAGGTGCTGCTGATGCTGCCGGGCTGGAGCTCACACTTCGAGAACCACTAAATTAATATGCGTAAAGCATAAAACAGTGCTGTCACTTAGCAAGCCTGATGTGAATATCTGCTATTATGACTCATCGTCCCAAAGCACATTTTGGGGGTCCAAAACCAGGTTTAATTGATTCATAGAGTGACCCACTGATTGGCTGAACACATATGGTGACCAGTGCCACGTCCAGGATACTGAGAAGATATATGGAAAAGGGAAAGACTCAGTTCTCCTTTAAAGCAACTTTTATGCAAGTGTGTATGTGAGTGTACATTTACATGCTGGAACAAATGATTTCCATATGAAATATTATACTTATTTATGACATAAAGTTTGGCAGTGCTAATGTGTTGCTTTGGATCTCACTAAAATCTCTAAAACAAATTTACTAACAAAATGGTGGAACTAAAGAATGTCTTTCCCAAATAAACTTTGGAAGTTCAAGTGGGAGACAGTCTGAAAGGCTGAGTTCATAGTCTCTCCTGGGGCTTTCTCAGACAGCCGAGCGGCTGGGAGAGATCAAACCTGGGCCAGTGTTTGGAAAGTGCTATCCACAACCAGGTGGGACAGCTCAGCAGGAAACACAGATGCCTCCAATTTGG